TTCTTGAAATGTGATACCCTGCATCACCAACAAAGAAGCTCATCAGATATGTTCTCTAGACTTTGTACTTCCCATCCTCTGAAACTGTAATCAATAAATTTTGTTTTCTTATATATTACCCAGTTCCAGATATTTATGTTATAAGCAGCAGAAATGGACTAATACACTGGCCATCAATATTTTCATGCACTGAAAATCGTGTGGAATATGAAATTACTAGTTTGCCTGAGGTGCTATAAAAGGCACTGCTGGTGACCCAAATCAACCCCCTTCACCTGGCTCCTGCCCCCATCCCCCGCTTCTGTACTGACTGCTAACTTATTACTTCCCCTTCTCTGGAGAAGTATCCTTTGCTTACATGGTCACTGGGTCTGGCAGGTAGGAAATCTCTAAGGTACAATTTAAATTCCAGAGCCTCTGTTTGTATTGGATCAAGGCTAGACTTAACCTGAGACGTCATCCCTGATAACTCTTCCCCTTCCCTATAATGCTTACCTTACTCCCTCACAGGATTTTTCCTGAAGAGAATTTTTTCACAAGCACTGAAAATTCCTGTCTCATGCCCTGATCTAGAGAACCTGATAAGATATTTCTTATTGAAGATAAATGTCACCTCACACCCCCAGGGTGTCAGAGATGTGAAGGATGACTCAAAGCCCATTTCTTCTGAGCAGTGAGAAAACAACCACAAAGGGGTTAATTTCCAGGAACCCTCAAGAGAGGCATTCCTCCTTGGGAAATTAACACTGAACTGGGTTTCTTTCTCAGTATTTATTCTCCAGGCCAGAAAGTTACAGAAAAGGAACATAGGTGGTTACAAAAGAACATCAGTGAAATAACAATGTGACATTCCATAATGCAATTTGTTAAAAGTTAAGTTGATCCACCAGCAAAAGCTTTTTCTTAGCAACGCTTTCTTTCCCTACAGCAATTTCTTTAGTATGTTTACATAACAATCAAGTAACTTTCTTAACATATAAATCAGTAGGTTAACCAGTACAAAGGGCATCTGTCCTTGAGCCAGCAATTTTGCTGTGTTACAATTCTTTGTCTATGACAGAGACTTTAGCCCAGGTAAATTTTCCTGTCTTTTGCAAGCTTAACATTTCTATATGTAATTTTTAAAAGTTAGGCTATATCTGAAACTACAGGGCTTTGGAGGCTAAGCCCTGTGAAATACATTTGCTTTATTAATGTTAGTGCTCTCTACAGATAAAGAATTTAAATATGTGTTTTTAGAAATCAGAGCATCAGTATGCTATGACATATGTCATAGGTAACAGCAATATTGCAGTCTTTCCCTCTCCTAATATTAAGTCCAGTTGAACAAATTTCAAAAGAGCCAATGTGAATCAAAATCTGCATGGTAGGGAGCCATCTTATAACATGGGTTCTGTATAAAGTGTTACTCAAGGCACATGATGCAAAAATTGGAAAGTGTTCCCTTCAAAGTGTTGGGGCCATCTGAGATAAAACTTCCATTTGCAAGTTCTATCAGTACAGGAATTTTTTTTTTCTGGTTTATTCACTGATATATAGCACGTTTAGGACAGTACTTGGCACTTTACAGGCATTCAATAAATGACTATTGAACAAATGAATAGGATTAAATTGCCTGAGCCCAACTGTGCACATACAGACTTGTGACAGAAGGGGGCAGAAGAGAGCTGCTTGAGCAGCTGAACAAGAGCTGACCAGGCTAGAGCAATTTCAGATCGGCCCAGTCAGGAACTAGGCAATAGATATCACTAGAGAAGTCAAAACTG